GAAATATATATCAGAAGGTATTATACCTCGGAGATTGAGATGGGATCTTATTCCAAATGATGGATTACATGATGAGGATTCTCTGAGTGAATGGAGAAATTTTTTCCATACATGTGAGAGTTCATTGCTAAAAATGTTGGTAGAAAGGAAAAAAAACGGAAATTAAGGACAGTGGAGGCTAAAATAGATGAGATGAAAAAGAAAGTAGAGGAATTAAAAGACAAGAGGGATTTGAATGGATTATTTCAGAAATTACAAGAACAACTCAATAAGAAGGATGGGGAAATTAAGAAAAAGAAACATAAGAAATTTGTTAGAGACATAGGCGATTACCAGGCCAATAAAGTGTATAAATGGCAGGAAGTAATTTTAAAAAATTGTCAGTCTACAGAATCATCTCCAGCAAAATCTATTGATGGAAACCTGGGAGATAGGAAAAATATATCCCAGGAAGAAAATAAGTCGATGGGAGTTATATTGAATGGAGGGAGGGGGGAGAGATCTAAACCTAGTGATAATAAAACAAAATTTGAAAACCAAGAATTCAGGTAATCAAGAATATAACGTTCCAGTTTACAATAGATTCCAACCATTGGAAGGTTGGAATAACCAATATAATCAATATAATCCTAGGAACGTATATTATAGCCCAGGTCGAAATAGAGGAAGGGGAAATTTTTTTCAGAGGGACTTCAGAGGTCGGCCACCAGGTCCACCTTATATGAGACCTTATTTTCAACCCCAATGGGGAAGAGGAGGACAGAGAAATCCCCAATATTACCAACCAGTAGAAGGGGAGGGAGGATATGCCCCGAGAGAAGAAACAGGAAGGTATCATCAAGTAGAGGAGCGACCAGTGGAAGGGGGAAACGAGAACAAAAGGAAGCGAAAAGAAGTTTAGGGGAAGGTATTTATAATTTGAGTTCAGTTCCGTTAACAGATGAGGAAATTTCAGTATTAGATAAAGGTCTTAAGTTTGCTCCTAAATCGAATTTAAATAAATTCGATACATATATTGCCATTAATAAATACATTAGAAAAATTAATATCAAAAAATACTTTGCTTCTCTACCAGGACCAACATCGATGGCAAATTTAGAATCAAGATCGAAATATGTTCATAGTGAATTAAAAAATAAATCTACATTTAATCCCTCAAATTCTAGAAATATGAATGTGGAGGTGTTCAAACAAATTTCCGTGCCTCTAATTCATATAAATCATCAATTGTCATCTAAGGAAGAAGAATCCATATATAAAGGTTTGCTTACATTGAAAAAGAAAAATAATGTTGTGATTCGACCAGCAGATAAGGGGGGAGGGGTGGTCGTAATGGACAGATTAAAATATGAAGAGGAAATGAATTTAATTTTAGGAGATAGGAGTACATATGAAAAAATTTCAAAAAACCCCACAGTTTTATATAGAAAACAGCTTGTGAAATTGGTAAAAAAAAGCGGAAGATGATAAAATTATCCATGAAAAAGAAGCATTATATCTTGTCCCATTGCATTGCAAGGTTCCATATATATATATCCTACCTAAGATCCATAAGAGTTTGACTAACCCACCAGGTAGGCCTATTATTAATGGAATAGGATCAATTCATTCAAGGGTGGGACAATATATAGATTTTTACTTACAGCCAGTGGTTAAAAAAGCGCCTTCGTATCTTAAAGATGGCCAAGATGTTATTAATTTATTGGAAGGTATGGAGATTACACAAGAAATGTATCTGATGACCATAGATGTTAATTCCTTATACACTAGTATAAAACACAGAGAGGGTATAGATGCAATAAAGTGGGCCCTAAAATACCATACAGAATTACATATCAAACAAAGGAAGTTTATTATACAATTATTAGAATTTTCTATGGGGAAGAATTATTTTTGGTATGATGGTGGATATTATGAGCAAAAGAAAGGTGTCGCGATGGGCGCGAAATTTGCTCCCAGTCTGGCCAACATCTTTTTAGCAAAATGGGAGGATAAGGAAATCTTTGGTAGAAATTGGAAAGGGTTAAAAGTATGGAAAAGATATATTGATGATATTCTGGTAGTTTGGGATGGTACAGAGGAAAGTTTACAGCAATTTTTAGAATATATTGGAAAGCATGAACATGAATTAACTTTTACTTATAATATTAGCAAAGAATCGGTCAATTTTTTAGATTTAACCATTTTTAAGATGAATAATAAGTTATATTTTAAAACTTTTTTCAAAGATACAGATAGAAACGGGTACATTCCTACAAATAGCTGTCATCATCCCCGGTGGATACAGGGTATACCTAAAGGACAGTTTGCTAGAATTTTTAGAAATTGTTCTCGACTGGAGGATTATATTTCACAATCAGAAGTTATTTTAAATAGGTTTATTGCTAAGGGATATGATCCAGTAAGATTGGAAAAAATTAGATTTAAGATTAGTCAGAATTATTTAGGAGGAAGAAAAATTAAGCAAAAACCAAAGATTAAAGAAAAGAGGAATGAAATTGAATATGCGTTTATTTCTGATTTTAATTGTCAGTATAGAGAAATTGAAAATATATTTATGAGACATTGGCCAATTCTTAAAAAAGATAATGTTTTAAGTTCGGAGCTACCAGTAAAACCTTCCTTTATTTATAGAAAAGCAAATAATTTGAGGAGTATTTTAGTTAAAGGCGTGATTTCCCCACCAAAAGAGAAAGTTTTTGAGATGTTTAATTTTAAAGGTTTTTATCCATGCAAAAAATGTAGAATATGTAGAACCACTGGGATAAAGGATAGGGTGATTTCATCCTTTAAATCCCATTCTACCGGAGAGGAATTTCCCATAAAGCAGTTTATCACATGTAACACACGTTATGTAACATACTTATTGGAACGTCCTTGCCATTTTCAATATATTGGTAGGACAAAAAGGAATTTATCTGTCAGATTGGAAGAGCATGTAAGAAATATTATTAAGGGCAAGAAAGACCATAATGTATTGAGACATTTTAAAGAATTTCATAACTCAGATCCAGGACTTTTAAAATTTTGTGGCATTGATACTGTTAAAGGACATTGGAGGGGTGGGAATAGAGTCCAAAAGTTGTCGCAAAATGAAACTTTTTGGATATTTAGGATGAATACATTAAAACCTAGGGGTCTTAATATAGAACTTGACTTAAATTGTTTTATTTCTGATTTTTAGATTCTTTGGGCTTACCAATTGAGAGCTGTGATATAGTTTTGTGTGATATTGTAGAATTTAAGGGTTTTTGGTTTTTAATAAGGGATGTCCCAATTATAGGTGCACATATAATATAATTTAATGAGGAAAAAAAATATAAAAGAGGATATCCAGAATTTGTAACAAACTATTGTCTTATGATCCTAGTATAGTTTTAATAGTAAGAAATATATAGGTGGGGCTTTGAGATATATAAAAAGTTTTTCCTGAATCAAAAAATTAAGAGATCATATCTATTAAATAAGAAAAGAAATATATATTTATATATGAACCTGTTCATGAGAATGACCACTGGAGGGAGTAAAGTATTTAGATTGAAAAATAAGTTTAATTAAGTATAATGGTAATTAGTTCATGTGTTTGACCACTGGAGGGAGCAAAAGGTTTAAAAATCACTAAGTGATATATATATATATATATATATATGTCTGATGGGCTATATTTTTATTATATTGGAAATTGATAGTATTTATTTAAATGTTTCTAAATGGGGTTGAATATAGGGAATATGTATTTATAATTAGTTTTTTAGTATATGATGTAATTTTATTTTATTTTATTTTTCGGTTGATAATCGGATAAGAAAGTATAAAGGTATATTTGTATACTGTATTTTATTATATGAAATATGAATCTGTAGTCCTCTGTTACCCTTTGTGTATTAGTATTTGCTTAGTCCGATTTTTGGCTAAGGATACCCATTAGAGTGATAGAGGAATTGCGATGGCCTGGTTTCCCTTTTGTAAAATGGCGGCGGTGGCTTCGCATCATTAAGAGACATTAACATATAAGGAGAGCGATGTGGGACGTCCGTATCCCTTCAGACGAAGTCCGGAAGTGACGAAACGCGTTAAGGGTGTGACGTCGTGACGCACGCACGCAGACCGGAAGTGTCGCCGCGGCCATTTTGTGGGTTGTCAACACATGGCATTTGCATTTGTTTGATAGAGCTCACACAAAAACCATGTTGGAAGCTGGATTAATGAAGTTTTAATGTAAGTGGCTATTAAAGATTTCTTAATTATACCCTGAATATGAGCCTTGAGACCCTTCTTGTCTTTTGAGGACCTTGAAATAGTTTCTTGGGAGCAAATTAGAAGATCTCATTGGATGCTGGTATATGGATACAGAGGATTATTTAAATTTGTTTTTTTGAGGTACCACGGGACGAAATGGAATTTCTTCCTATTGGATGATAAAGTTTGAACATTGGGACATTTTGGACACTATTTTTGTTTGGATTGGGACATTTTTTATTGGGACACTTTGTATTGGACTTTTTTTGACTTTTTGAGTTTTTATTATTATTATATTCATTTATTTGAATATGAGTATGTTTAAATAATATACAGTCACTGCTGTACTAATGGCACTGGCTGGGAAGAGGTTAACATCTAGAGTAATCAGAGGTGGGGGTGGGGTGTCTGTGTACCAATTGATCTTGGTCTACCAGCCCCGCTTTATAGGGATGGGAAACAGAGATCATTCTCTCTGTATACAGCCCTGTATTGAATGTCAACACAGATCTGGACTGTGTACACAGTCGATCAGCAGATCCTGGCCATGAATCATTGGCTGGGACTTGCTGACAGACTACTGCAACTAAGTGCAATCATGAGGGAGGTAGGGCACGCATCCTAAACCTGGTAGCAGGCAGCGACAAACCAGTCCATAGCTTTGCCTGCAAGGGCCTTCCGTCCACAGTACATGGAGGGTGGGGAGTCTGCAAGAAGTGAGTTTAATATGGCAATCGTTCAAGTGTGTGTATTGATCTCACCTTCCAGTTAAGAGACCTGTCTTCCATAAGTTCAGCATAGCGTTTATGCACCTTCTGCTGAAAAGCACTTGTCTCATAACGCTCATTACCAAAATCTCCACGTTTAGCAGCAGCCTCAGGGCTTATGTCCAAAAAAAGAACAAGATCTGGCTTTGGAAGTCCAACATCAGGCTGCTTGCACCAGTGAAGGGAAAAATTCTGTATGGAAAGAAATCCAAAAATTAACATTCTGCAACAGCTTCTTTAGATTAGCACATTGCTTGTTTCCAATTTTAGCAGAGCCAAAAGTCATGAAGGAGCAACTTAATGAATCCAGGGACAACTGGATATATAAACACACTGTTAGGTCCATATATATATTTGGACGCAGGCACAATTTTAGTTTTTGTCGTCAGGTATTTACCAAAACATATTCAAGCTATATAGTTCTATAATGGATATGGGCTGAAAGTGCACACTCTCAGGTTTAATTTGAGGGCATGTACATCCAAATTGGAGAAAGTTTAGGAATTACAGCTCTTAAAGAGTAGCCACCCCCCCCCTTTTTTTCAAGGGACCATATGTAACTTGACAATTGAACCAAAAGCGGTTTCCTGGCCAGGTTTGGGCTACTCCATGATTTCTTCATCAATTAAAACAGGTAAAAGGTCTGGAGTTGATTCTAAGTGTGGTATTTGCATTTGGAATCTATTGCTGTGAACCTACATCATGCATTCAAAGGAGCTGTCCATGCAAATGAAACCGGTCGTTGTAAGGTTTAAAAAACAAAAACAAATCCATCAGAGAGATAGCAGCAACTTTAGGAGTGGCCAAATCAACAGTTTGGTACATTCTGAGGAAAGAATGCACTGGTAAGCTCAGAAACATAAAAATGGCATAGACGTCCATGGAAGATAACAGCGGTGGATGATCTCAGGATCTTCTCCATGGTAAAAAAAAAAAAAAAAAAAAAACCCATTCACAACATCCAGACAAGCGAAGGACACTTTCCAGAAGGTGGGCGTATTATTGTCAAAGTCTACAATCAAGAGAAGACTTCACAAGAGCAAATACAGAGGGTTCACAATAAGGTGCAAACCATTCATAAACCAGATTAGACTTTTCCAGAACTGGTCTGGCTTGTTTAGATGTTTTTTGCTAAAGCATTCTTTGGACGGGTGAAAAGAAGATTAATCTGTACCAGAATGAAAAAAAAAAAAAAAGAAAAAAAAAAAAAAAGTGGAGAAGGCTTGGAACAGCTCATGATCCAGAGCATACAACGTCATCTGTAAATCATGGCGTAGGTAGTCTGATGGCATGGGCCATTAATATTTATGTGACAGAAGCAGCTGGATGAATTCTGTTGTGTTTAGAGATATACTGTCAGCTCAGATTCAGCCAAATGCAGCAAAGTTGATTGGACGGCACTTGACAGTACACATGGACAATGAACCAAAACACACTGCAAAAGCAACCCCGGGGCTTTTGAAGGAAAAGTGGAATATTCTGCAATGGCCGAGTCAATCACCTGATCTCAACCCAATTGAGCATATATTTCACTTGCTGAAGGCAAAACTAAAAAAGGCAGAAAGAACAACTGAAGAAAGTTGCAGTTAGAGCCTGGCAAAGCATCAGAAAGGAGGAAACCCAGTCTTTGGTAATGTCCATGGGCTCCAGACTTCAGGCAGTCATTGCCAGTAAAGGATGCTCAACAAAATATTAAAAATGAACATTTTATTTATGATTATATTCATTTGTCCAATTACATTTGAGCCCCTGAAAATGGAGGGACTGTGTATAAAAATGGTTGCAGTTCCTAAAATTTGTACTTGATATTTATGTTCAACCCCTTGAATTAAAGCTGAAAGTCTGTACTTCAAATTCATTTGGATTGTTTCATTTTAATTTATTTTGGTGGCATACAGAGCCAAACGTATGAAAATTGTGCCTGTGTCCAAATATATATGGACCTAACTGTATATTTGAAAATTGATTGTAATTTTTTTCTTATTTTTTTTTTTATTTTTTTAAACACACACCCACTTCAGCCTTACCTTAGGGCCAAGACACAGCCTGAAACCTTCTTTACAAATGCCGGGTCTTTGCTGGATAAAATTTCCACTCAGTAATGTTTCCAAATGTCCTCCCATGAGGCAACCAGAATCATCCACTAAATTGAATATGTATCATTAACCCAAACATCCAGGTTGCTTGACACACAGGTGAAAGCCAGGGGAAAACATTTAGCAGTGATGCAGTTATCACATTCACCTGATCTATGATGAGACCCAAGTGCTCAAAAGGATAGGCCCCATTTCTTTACACCTGGGAGAGTGATGTGTGCAACTCTGGACATCTCCTTGACAATAAGGTGCAGCTTCCAAGACCTGTGCATAATGTACCCTCTTTTTGGCATCTTTCGAAAGTCATCTCTCAGCGATTGAGGATTGGGAATCCTCTATTTTTGTGCCTAAGCAGGTACCTATACATTTTAGCCTGTACTGACAGGACTGGAGGGAATACGCAATTTGTCCTGATGTGTACAGTGGATATAAAAAGTCTACACACCCCTGTTAAAAGGCCAGGTTTCTGTGATGTAAAACAAAAATCATTTCAGAACTTTTTCCACCTTTAATGTAACCTATAAACTGTACAACTCAGTTGATAAACTGAAATCTTTTTAGGTGGAGGGAAGTAAAAATAAAAAACTAAAATATGGTTGCATAAGTGTGCACACCCTTAAACGAATACTTTGTTGATGACCTTTTATTTTATTCCAGCACTCAGAGTTTTTGGATATGAGTCTATCTGCATGGCACATCTTGACGTCCCACTCTTCCTTGCAAAAACACTTCAAATCTGTCAGATTGCGAGGACATCTCCAGTGCACAGCCCTCTTCAGATCACCCCACAGATTTTCCATCGGATTCAGGTCTGGGCTCTGGCTGGGCCATTCCAAAACTTTAATCTTCTTCTGGTGAAGCCATTCCTTTGTACATTTGGATGTATGCTTTGGGTCGTTGTCATTCTGAAAGATGAAGTTCCTCTTCATGTTCAGCTTTCTAGCAGAAGCCTGAAGGTTTTGTGCAATATTGACTGGTATTTGGAACTGTTCATAATTCCCTCTACCTTGACTAAGGACCCAGTTCCAGCTGAAGAAAAACCGCTTCAAAAGCATGATGATGCCACCACCATGCTTCACTGCGGGTATTGTGTTCTTTTGGTGATGTGCAGTGTTTTGCATATCTCTTGAAATTATGGCCAAAAAGTTCATCAGACCAAAACACATTTTGTCACATGCTTTTGGGAGACTTCAGATGTGTTTTTGCAAAATTTAGCCAGGCTTGGATGTTTATTTTCCTAAGAAAAAAGTCTTCCGTCTTGCCACTCTACCCCATAGCCCACACTTATGAAGAATACAGGAGATTGTTGTCACATGTACCACACAGCCAATACTTGCGGTTTTCTTCTCGCCTTTTCATTAATTTTGGAGGGACGTCCAGGCTTGGTAAGGTCACTGTTGCGCCGTTTTCTCCATTTGATGACTGTCTTCACTGTGTTCCATGGTACATCTAATGCCTTGGAAATTCTTTTGTACCCTTCTCCTGACTGATACCTTTTAACAATGAAATCCCTCTGATGCTTTGGAAGCTCTCTGCAGACCATGGCTTTTGCTGTAGGATGCGACTAAGAAAATGTCAGGAAAGACCTACTAGAACAGCTGAACTTTATTTGGGGTTAATCAGAGGCACTTTAAAGGATGGCAGGTGTGTACTGACTCCTATTTAACATGATTTTGAATGTGATTGCTTAATTCTAAACACCACTACATCCCCAGTTATAAGAGGGTGTGCACACTTATGCAACCACATTATTTTAGTTTTTTTATGTTTACTCCACCCCCCCCGCCCAAAAAGATTTCAGTTTGTTTTTCAATTGAGTTGTACAGTTTATAGGTCACATTAAAAGGTGGAAAAAGTTCTGAAATTATTTATCTTAGTCTAATTTTTTTTACATTACAGAAACCTGACATATTAACAGGGGTGTGTAGATTTTTTTATATCCACTGTATATATAGCTTTAAATAGCGCGTCAGTTTCGTCTACCAGGAACAAAAATCTAGCTACAACAATCCTTTGACCGTCTCACCATAACTGGACCCATCAGAAGGGGAGGCAAAATCTTTCAACCAACAATCAGTTTTTAAAGTGGATGGCACTATGTCCTCAAGAACATATCTATATGGATATCATGTCTTCATACATCGTGTTCATGGAGTCTTTCATAAAAGAATCAATTTTGGAGTCTGCTAGTAGTGTATGGTTCCAAAGCCCTGAATGCTTGGTATTACAGTTGTCACATTTCTTTTTGCATTTTACAAAATGGTCAGGAGCCTTACGTGTCGGATTTGAAGAAAAACACATTATGATTCAGATAACAGCAGGAGGAGCACAATAGCTGTATACAGAGTTAACAGATATGTCAATCAGTTCCTTAAACCATGCATACAGATTCTGGCTACCTCCCCCCCCCCATGAAGGTGCAGCAGAGACCTGGGATACCATTTGAATCTGTACTGTAGCAGATCCAAGTGGCACTAAACCTCAGTTTAAGCCTTAGTGTTGCTCAAACAGGCCCGCTCCCTACCTTCAAATCACAAGGATGAGAAAGCCACGCTTCCTGATAACACCAGTGTCAACTGCTATGCGTCGCTCAGAGCACCAAAAGCAACATCCAATGCTGCAACAGCCTACCTTCCCTAGTTATAAACCAAGGGGAGCAATCTTCCCACAAGTCAGGGCTCTCAGCTTCGCAACCCCCAGACAACCACCGACCAGCCGCAAAAATGATCAACCCTTAGGGCAAAACCAACAAACCTTACGGGAAAAGGTCTGGCCAAAAAAGAAGGCTGAATTCCCTTAGGTCAAGAGGGAGCATTTAACAGACTCCCAACTAATCTGAGGGGAGCTGCTGACCACAATATTCTGACCCAAATTTAAACAAAACATGACAGTGTATGTTCATGAATGGTTGGAAAAACAATGAAAACTGGAGACCCAGTGGGAAGAGCTAGGCACCTCCAACATTTTTTGGCTTGCATTTCCTGTTGATAAAGGAACCAATCATTTCTCCAGTAGCTGTACTGATGAAATAATTGGGGAGGCTGTCGAAGTTAAACACATTAGCGGCTCACCTAAATGGGCTTCAAAACGGCATGGTAATAAGGGCTTCTGAATCCACATTGTACAGTACAAGACAGCAACACAACATGATTTTACTTGGTGTTGATATTTCATTTTTAAACATTACCTTTTTGGAGCTTGTGAATGCAACTCCTGAAAAAGCATATCGGTCCACCACAAGTGTCACACCACTTCTTAGCTTCTCTTTTATCAAAGGACTACAAAAAAAATAATAATGCTGACTTGACCCTGATATACAAATCTCGATGTTTATGTATATTGTAACTTTGTACTAGAAGAGACACGCACACACACCTTTTCTGGCACTTTGTTTGCATATAAAAGCATTTTATATATTTTTGGCTAGAAAATTTCTTAGAACCCCCAAACATAATATTTTTTTTTAAAGCAGAAACGCTAGAGAATAAAAGCGGTGGGTCTTTTAATAATCACAAGGCATGTGTGCAGCGGCTTTTCTGAAATACATTTTTTAGAATTTTAATGCAAAAAACAATACATAAACCAATTTTGTGGTAAAATAGAAAACATGTTACACCGAGTAAATGGATACCAAACATGTCACGCTTTAAAATTGCACATTCCCGTGCAACGGCGACAAACGACGAAAATTATACTAGCTATAGGCGACGCTTTAAAATACTTTACAGGTTAACACTTTAGCTCTGGTACTAGAATTGCTGCCCATGACCTGACATTTGCAGTATACCTTACATGTGCTGGACGATCGCTGCTTGCATGCACATGCGTGAGCACAAGAAAAAAAAAAATGTTTTTTTATTTTTTACACAGTCGTTTTAAATTTATGGATCACTTTTATTGCTGTCACAAAGAATGTAAACATCCCTTGTGACAGCAATAGGCATGTGATAGGTACTCTTTATGGAGAAATCTGAGGTTATTTTTAGTTAAATTTAGTTTTGGGATAATTGAAAGCAGTACAGTACTATTTTATATTTAGAGGTCTTGAATGTGGGAACACATAATACTACTTATCAGCTGCATGCGATCACTTAGAACAGGTGGGCAGCAAAGGAGTATATTTTTGGTTTAATGGTCCTGTAGCTCACAAAATTGTGGATCCCATACTTAAAGTAATATTAAAAAAGGCATTTAAAAAAAAAAAAAAAAACAACAACAAACATCTTATACTTACCGTACCTGCTCTGTGTAAATAGTTTTGCACATAGCAGCCCTGATCCTCCTCCTGGGATCCCCCACTGGCACTCCTGGGCCCTTCCTCCTTTCGAGTGTCCCCAGAGCAAGCAGCTTACTATGGGTGCACCCAAGCAGGCACCTTCCATAAGCAGCTGCTCTACATGTCCATTTACACACAGCCCCGGCTCCACTCCAATCACCTAATTGGCTCACTGGCTGATTGACAAGGGCTCCCACTGCTGCCTCAGCAAATGAGGGTAAGTCCCTGGAGAGCCAAGGCTCTTGTGCACATTGCTGGATCATGATGGGGCTCAGGTAAGTATTAGGGGAGCTGCTGCACACAGAAGTTTTTTTACCTTCATGTATAGAATGCATGAAGGTAAAAAAACCTTGAGCCTTTACAACCACTTTTAAAGCAAATAGTCTGTTCAATTTGCAAGGGAATTTTCACTTCGCTTAATAAACTGAGGAAACTCAGCTAATAATTATCCATTCATGGGCAAGCAATTTTTTTCCCCCCCTAAAAGCGATTGGGTATTCTTTGCAAAGTGGATTTTCATCTCATTCACTAAACTAGGGGAAAATCATTTGCAAAATAAACAACCGTTTGCCTTTAGTAAATCAACATCACTGTTCTACTTAACCGCTTGCCCTCCTGAGAATTTATCCCCCTTCCTAACCAGGCTATTTATTGTGTTACAGAGCTGCGTTACTTCGACAATTCCGCAGTCATGCAACGTTGCACCCAAATTAAATTTACGTCCTTTTTTCCCCACGAATTGAGCTTTCTTTCGCTAGTATTTGAGCGCCTGTGCAGGTTTTAATTTTTTGTGCTATAAAAAAAAAATTTTTTTACCTTTTGCTATTAAACTTGTCCAGTAAAAAAATTTTAAAAATCAAATTTCGTCATAAATTTACACCCCAAAATGTATTCTGCTATGTCTTTGCTAAAAAAAATCCCAATACGCGTAAATTAACTGGTTTACGTGAAAAGTTTAGCGTTTACAAATGGCGGTATATATACTGGAATTTTTTTATTTTTACTAGTAATGGTGGCGATCAGCGAATTATACTGGGAATGCGGTGGACATTCTGACACTGGGGGGAACTGACGGTGTCACTGACATCCCCAGTGAAACACTTTAGATCTCTGCACTTACACTTGTTCCCAGCGGTTTGCAGAGAAGAGTAGATGAACAGTGTGATCTTCAAGGTTACTTTTCTTCTCAAGATAAGAGCCAATCAGGCGTCCGATTTCAGTTGTTCTCTCTGGAAAACCATGAAACAGACATATGAGTATTTGAAATAAAGAATATTTTAAACATAAGCAATCTAGTCTTAGTGGGGAAAACACAGTCTAACTTAATTATCTTAAATGACACATTAGCACAGGACTTTGCTGGGAAAGGGAAGAATATACCACCTTGCAAGGTCAAGCAATTAAGTTTCACCTTACAAGTGGTTCTGCAATGTGTGAGGCACTCTCAGGCTTTGAGGAGATCTAGACATTTCTGCATATAAATTCAGCGTATGAACTCAAACAAGCAGGTTTGTTATTTAACAAAAAAAAAGGGTAGCCTTTGCAGCCTTTTTAAACTAAAATAAATTAACATGTTATACCTGCTCTGTGCAATGGTATAGCACAGTGCAGCCCTGAACTTTGTTTTCTGGAGTCCCCCGCCAGCACTCTTGGCTGCTCCTTTTCAGTGTCTGCCACCATAACAAGCCCTGTGCTTTGGGGTAAACATGTGGGCTCATGGCCAAGCTGGGCTGTGTGCATCCATGGATGCCACTCAGCCCCATCCCCACACTGTGCTCACAGGATTTGACTGACAGAAGCAGCAGCCAATGGCTCCTATTGCCAATTCTGCGTTCTGTGAATGCAGGGAAAGAGAAGAGAGCTGCTACAGACGGGCACAGCGCTGGATTGAGTGAGGACTTCAATATTTAGAGGGGTGAAAGGGCAATACTGCTTCTGAGACACTTTACCTTAAAGCACTAGTAAGTGTCATCTCCCTGCAAGATAAAGGCATAATGTGCTAGCATGCATTGCATACTAGATTATGCAAGTCTTACCTTGAAACGAAGCCCTCCAGTGGCATGTTCTCACCACTGCAGAGGCTTCCATCTTCACCCGGTGTTCCTTCCAGGTTTGCAAGCTGAGGCTGCTTGAATGGCTGACCCGTGATGACATCACTCTTGTGCATATGGCCATACCCACGGCATGGGTATGCCGTTTCTTCAGAGCGCATGCGCTGATGATGTCATCGACTACTGCTCACTAGAATATCTTCAAAACAGTGGACATTTAGGAGATATTCATTTAACCTACAGGTAAGTTTTATTATAAGCTTACCTGTAGGTAAAGATTAAAATAGAGCATTTACCACCACTTTAATGCAGGGATTGAACGAAGGTAAACATTTTATGCCTCTAACTAGTTGCCGCCCGGCCGCCATCTGGCTATAGGACGGGCGGCAAGTAGTTAAAGGTATCGTCCCTCCGGGTGGACGCCATATGGCATCCTTTCTGGAGTGCGCATTGCGCATGCCTGCGCGATCTGTCACAGGCCGTGTACCTCGGACACAGCCTATTACAGATCTGTGTACCGGCCCCGTTGCCAGTACCATGTGACCTGCTGTGACCAATCACAGCAGGTCACATGAGAGTTGGATGGCATGAAAGGAAGCCATCCATTGCAGACAAGTGTGTCTAGCTGTGGATGGTCACAGCGATCACATGCACAAGCTGGGCCAATCACAGCCCAGCTGTGTCATGTGATTAGCCGTGGCCAAATCACAAAAAAAAAAAACCATGAATGAATTGATTTCATTCAGGTAAATGCTTGCTTATAGCAAAGTAATTCTTTGCTATAATCAAACTGTGTAAAAAAAAAAAAAAAAAATAATAATACTGATCACTGCCCCAAAGTAGTACAATGTTACCATGGTAACATTATACTTTATTTCATCAGAACACCTGAATCCAATGATTTGGAGGGGTGTCCCAATACTTTTGACAATACAGTAAACATTTTAAAATGGTTTTAACCACTTCCATATAGGGCTCTTTTACCCCCTTCCTGCCCAGGCCAGTTTTCAGCGCTCTCACACTATAAATGACAATTGCGCAGACATACAACACTGTACCCAAACTAAAATGTTATAACTTTTTTTCGCACAACTAGAGCTTTCTTTTGGTGGTATGGTGTACAAAATAAAGTGCCTAGGCATGCAGACTGCTTCTACAAACATTTGTGAAAGAATGGGTTGGTCTCCAGAGCTCAGTGAATTCAAGCATGGTACCATGATAGGTTACCACCTGTGCAATAGGTCCATCAGTGAAATTTCCTTGCTACTAAATATTCCACAGTCAGCTGTTAGTGGTACTAACACAAAATGGAAGTAACTGGGAACAGCAGCGGGGTCAGGTCATGCAGAAGCGCACAGTGCGCAGAAGTCATCAACTGTCTGCAGAGTCAATAGGTAAAGACCTCCAAACCTTGTGTGGCCTTCAGATTAGCACAACAACAGTGCGTAGAGAGCTTCATGGAATGGGTTTCCATGGCCAAGCAGCTGCATTCAAGCCTTGCATGACCAAGTACAATGAAAAGCATCGGATGCAGTGGTGTAAAGCACACCACCACTGGACTCTAGAGTACTGGAGAGGTGTTCTCTATGAATCATGCTTCTCTGACAATCCGATGGACGTGTCTGGGTTTGGCTGTTGCCAGGAGAACGGTACTTGCCGGACTGCATTGTGCCAAGTGTAAAGTTTGGTGGAGGGGGGATTATGGTGTGGGGTTGTTTTTCAGGGGTTGGGCTTGGCCCATTAGTTCCAGTGAAGGGAACTCTTAAGGCATCAGCATACCATGACATTTTGGACAATTTCATGCTTCCAATTTTGTGGGAACAGTTTGGGAGAGCCCCTTCCTGTTCCAACATGACTGCGCACCAGTGCACAAAGAAAGGTCCATAAAAGGGATTGATGAACAAGTTTGGGGTGGAGGAAGTTGACTGGCTTGCACAGACTCCTGACCTCAACCCGATAGAACACCTTTGGAATGAATTAGAGCGGAGAGTGCGAGCCAGGCCTTCTAGTCCCACATCAGTGCCTGACCTCACAAATGCGCTTCTGGAAGAATGGCTAAACATTCCCATAGACTCACTCCTAAACTTTGTGGACAGCCTTCCCAGAAGAGTTGAAGCTGTTATAGCTGAAAAGGGTGGGCAAACTCCATATTGAACCCTACGGACTAAGACTGGGATGCCATTAAAGTCCATGTGCGTGTAAAGGCAGGCGTCCCAATACTTTTGGCAATATAGTGTATAATGAGCCAAAAAAAAAAAAGTCTAGTTTTGGATAAAGTGGGGAAAGGATTAGAACATGCTGGGTTTGGCTGCCATCCAGTGCTCCTTTAGCATTTACCCTCACTTCCTGAGCTGAAGCGGCTCTTGCACACAATGCCACAATTTACAGCATTCTGGCTTTTTTTTTTTTTTTTTTTTTTAAAGGAGAAGTTCACCTTTTAGAACATGTTCCAATTCCTGCCGTCTCTCCTCCAATCCCCCTCAGTGCAAGAGCAGGCAGGAAGATCTTTCTCTTGTGGTCTTAGAGTGCTTCATCTACACGGCCACATCATTCATTCAGTTTCCGGTGAACGAACAAGTACCATCATCCACAGCTTCAGATGGCTTGTAGTTTATTCACAAGCCCTGCAGCTTTCAAACTGACAGCTGTTATGGAGGGACGGCCTGAAAGCTGAAGTGCTTGTGTGCAGAAGACTGACATTGCATCTCTGATCCATTGATCAAGGCTGCAATGCTTTCCAGTCTCCTGCAGGAAAAAGTAAATGTGCATATTTTACCTAAAACAAATATGCACATTTATTATTGTTTCTAAAAAAGGTGAACTTGTCCTTTAAGGACCTAAATGCAGCCTCAAATAGCCTGTACAAACAGCCACAAAAATATTAGTAACCCAGTACTGCATTTAGATCAGGAAAAAAAAAAACCCAAAAAAAAAAAAAAACCACTCACATGTCCCACAATCCCGCCGTCCTGTATTCCAGGCGCCGGCATCTTCAGTGTGGGCACCCAGCTGTGACAGCTTGCGGCTTCACAGCCGGGTACCCACTGCGCATGTACAAGTAGCGCTGCACTTCCAAAATGGCCCCGTCGTCTTCTGGGACCTGTCACGTGTCCCACAAGACTTCGGAGACGGAGGGTAGGAGGACAACGTCCGTTTCTGATCACCTAGGCGACTGCCGCGGAAGTGGGTACCTGTCAAATTCGGGTACCCCCCCCCCCCCCAAAGGTGCCAATCCTTAATGGGGAGCAGGGGACCAATCTTTAAAGCGGAACTTCCCCTTTTGGGTGGAACTCCGCTTTAACTAAAGCATCAAAAAAGCATGTTGAAGTGGTAAACACTTTAATGTGTGTTAAAGCTGAAGCATGTGTAAATGAGCCTTTAGGCTCGGTTCACATTGCCACAACTTGGGATCCAACTTGTCAGACCCCAAGTCGCATGACATGTGAAATCCCATGTTAGTCAATGACAGTTGTCTTAATTAGCACTATTGAAGTCTCTCCGACTTTAGAAAAGGTTCCTGTACTACTTCAAGGTGACTTCTGACCGATTTGTGCCCACAGACTTTAATGGAAGTCACCTCCAAGTTGGATCCTCATCTATATTGATGCGATTTGGACCCGACATTACAGGAAGATTACCCAGGCATTCCCCAAAAGTTGAGAACCACTGAAGAGCTTGTGGCGCTGCTCGAGGCTGTATGTAAATCACTGTGTTGGCAGAGAAAGACGGAGAAGCGTCACAAGTTACTCCAGAGATTTGGTGTAGTATATAGTGGTGAACGCCGCTCAAATGATCCCCAGGAGTCAGAAAAAGTGCGTGTGTGTGATAAATGGCCTCGGGCCTTCGCTCCGGCCACGTCAACAGATGCGTTTCGCCCTGTCCATAGGGGGCTTGGTCACAGAGGCATCAAAGGGCGTGGCAAGAGCAACGGCTGAGGCCATCTATCACACACATACAGGTTGTTTTCTGACTCCTGGGGATCGGTTTGTGCAGCATTCCCTGAAAGTTGCTTCATAGTAGTACTCAAGTTACCTGGAAGTAGTGTGAACCAAGACTTAGGGCTCGTTCACACTAGAATGCAGTGTGGGAGAGTCGCATTCCCATTTGGCTTCCTGCACCGCATTCTGATCGCAATGCAGGAGCTAATGACACCCTGAATGCAGGTTGCAGACACATTTTCTTTGCTCTTACCAGACCCCATGTGATGGGGATGCTGTGCTTTTAAAAAGTAATGCATGCACATCTGTTAGCACTCCGCGGTGCAATTCCAATGAACGGGCTTGGAATCGCACAGCGTGTTCCTGTGCAATTCAGATCAGGATAGTGTGAACTGGCCCTTAAGGTCATTTGCCTCTAAACGCCCCTCTATGCTGCCTACCTGGCCATGTGTACATAGGTGTCAACAAGCAGAAAACAACCCCCACTGAGCATGGTTCAGCACTTAGGAATTCATTCATTCCAATAGCCAGAATTAATATTGTGGCCAATGAAACGAATGCCCAAACATCAGAATGCGCCTAAATGCATTTGCATGACGTAGCTTGAGGCCCATTTTTACCACTACCAGCAGTAGAGGTCCAGAAGAGTTGGGCCCAACCTACACGAGGCCTAGTACGGCAAGCACGACTCATTTTCCAAGCATCCCTAAAAGGTACCGGCAGGTCGTTTGGTGACTGGAAAAGATAACACATAGAGCAGCAGAAGACATGACAGGCCTCATCTGCCGCCGTTTCTCTTACCAGGAAAGCGCATGCCCTCGGCCGGGTAGCCCCGCTCTTTCAATACCTCCACCAGCCGCTTGGCCTGCGTGCTCTTCCCGGCCCTGTCAGCACCCTCCAGTACAATTAAAGCCCCACGCCGTCCCGCCATCACTAACAGTACGAAGACGTCCTCTCTAGAACACCCGGAAATAAGTCAAACACGCCGCTCTGACCTGCCAACCAATCACCGACTCGTAAGACTTGCCACACCTTCTAACCTACACCTCAGGGCCGATCCTACCTCCTCTAATGGGATGTTTCACATCCTTGAGAAAACCGCCCACCAACTAGATAAGGATCTGTACCAATAGGATAAGAGCGCCGAGCGGACAATCCTCCAATCAGGGAGACGAATTTAGCAAGCCTGTAGGCGGATCCAAAGCAAACCGGGTTCAGCTTGCAGCAAGTCGCGGAACGGCTCATGAATATTAATCGGAGAGCCGTCCAACCCGCCGCGCCGGAAACGTGCTGCTCATGAATAACCCAGCAAGCGGTTGAGCGGGATTGAGGGCTGGCGGAGGAACAGGCGGACTTTGTGAATATGGCGACTGCGATGTACCTCGAGCACTACTTGGACAGTAAGTGTGGGCTAAGAGGAGGCGAACGGGTAGGGCAGGTGGGGCTGTTATCGCGCGGTGCGGTGACGGTTCTAGTGAGAATCAGCCGAGCGTATAATTAAAACTGCGTCACCAGTCCGTGAGCGCGCTCTCACAGCTTAGAGGGCGACGTGTTGACGTCCATTGCCTACGTAACTCCATTTTGAGTCATGAAAACTTTATTTAAAATCGTTTTTCACTTACTGAACAGCCGTAACGTTCTGACAGTATTGTCTTTGACATCGGTATGTTGACATTATAAGAGATGCAAATGTAAGGATTTGAGTGACTTTGACAAGGGCCAGGTTGTAATGACTAAACTCCTGGGTCAGAGCAACTCCAAAGCTGCAGCTGTTTATTTCAGGTACTTTTATAGCACTGTTAACTTATGCAGTGCTTTACATATATAGTATACGTTCACATCAGTCCCTGCCCTCAAGGGGCGTACAATCTAAGGTCCATAACTCACATTCATACTAGGGCCAATTTAGGATTCAATTAACCTAGCATGTCTTTGGAGTGTTGGAGGAAACCGGAGTACCTGGAGGAAACCCACGCAAGCACAGGGAGGACATGCAAACTCCAGGCAGGTGGTGCCCCAATTGGGATTCAAACCAATGACCCTAATACTGCCAGGTGGAAGTGCTAACCATTTAGCCATTGTGCTTCCCCCTGTTGTAGGGTGTTCATGGTCTGCAGTGGCCTACCAAAGTGGTCCAAGGAAAGAACACGGTGACAGGGTTATGGGTGGCCAAGGCTCAATACACGTGGGAAGGCAGGTCCCTATAGTCTGATCTAATGGTAGAGCTACTGTGGCTCAGATTGCTGAAAAAGTTCAAGCAGAACTTCACCCAAAAGGGGAAGTTCTGCTTGTTTTCATCCCACTGTTAACAATTGACACTTTTTGGGGGTGAGGGGAGGGAGCAGGTACCAGCTTTCTCTTCCAGTTTGATTGCCTCAGTAACTTGAGTGGAGGAACCTCACCTCCCCTTACCCTGCAGCATTCTGGGACATCACAGGTCCCAGAAGACTGCGGGACCATTCTCAAAGCGCAGCATGCATGCACAATGGCAAACCGGCCATGAAGCCACAAGGCTTCGCTGCTGGTTTCCTTTAGTTAAAGTGGTTGTAAAGGCTGAAGGTTTTTTTCCCTTCATGTATTCTATGCATGAAGGTAAAAATTATTCTTCATGCAGTGCCCCCGCTCTGATCCAGCCATATTCACAACAGCCTCTGCTGTCCGGGGACTTTTCCTCCTAATTGACTGAGACAGCAGCAGGTGCCCATTGGCTCCAGATGCTGTCGATCACAGCCAGTGAGCTAATGAGCAGAGAGCGGGAGGTGGGGCTGAGCCGCGGCTCTGTGTCTCATGAATGCATAGAGCAGCAGCTCAAGGACAAGCACACAGTGGTGCCCCCAGGGCAAGTGCCTTTCTCTGGGGCCATTGCTCGACGGGAAGGAGCCAGGAGTGCTGGCACGGATCAGGGCATTTGTTCCAAAACCACTGCACAGAGCAGGAAAGTATAGACAAGTTTATTTAAAAAAAAAAAAGCTTTAGTATCGCTTTAAGATGCCAGAACCTGGACTCAAAGCCGATTGAAGAATCACACAGTGCATTGCAGTTTGTTGCATATGGGGCTGAGTAGCTGCAGACTGGTCAAGGTGTCCAAGCTGAACCAGTTTCCCCAGCCAAAAACCTGCTACAGTGGGCATGTGAGCATCAGAACTGCACCACAGAACATTGGAAGAAGGTGGCCTGGTCTGATGGATCATGTTTTCTTTTACATCATGTGGATGGTCTTGATGCATGTATTCCACTTAGCTGGAGAAGAGATGGTACTAGGATGTGCTATAGGAAGGCTGTTCCACGAAGGCCGCACCTCAAAACTTAGAGTACTTAAAGTGGAACTAAACTCCACTATTGTTTTCCACCAAAGAAGCTGTCCTCTTAACTGCCATGGTGCTTCATATGTCATCAGTTATGACACCAGCCATTTGATGGTTTGACAGTTTGGTTGAGAGCACAAGCAAATGTGACAATTGGCATTCTGGGCATGTGCCAGGAATGTAACTTTTTTTTGAAACTGTTAAATTGATGGGTTTACTTCCACTTTAGAGTTCGTTCACACCATGGTCTAGCAATGACCGTTCTGAAAGGGCACAATGAAATCAATTGTTCTCTATGTACCCTGTTCACAACACTGATAGCTTGTTTTTTTTTCTCTGCAGTATAGTTTAAACTAATGCCAGGTAAAAAGAAAAAAAGGCACAAAAGTGAAAAACACACAGTGCAGAGGGTGTTACACTTAGTCCTCCTATGAAGAGAAAGGACCCCAGGGCACCAGATTCCTGATGGGGACTGGAGAACTTGTGGCAATCTTGACTGTGGGAATCCGGCTTTAACTTGCTGCTGTTTCACAGCCGGCTGCGCATACACTAGATATTCTGCGCTCTTAGAATGGTCCCACAGTCTCCTGGGATATGTAACTATTTCCAGAAGGATGGGGGGGGGGGGGAGAGAAGAGGGAGCGAATACCTGTTCAAAAAATCAATGAGCTTTGGAGAGAAAAGTAGTGCAGCTCACTCGGTGCTTCCATCTTTGTCTGGTGTTTCTTCCGGGTTTCTCATCTTCGGCATTGAACGGCCGGGCTGCGGTGCACATGGGAGTTACATTGCCGTAGGTCCTAAATGTGATCAGAACTGTGTATGTGCTGCTCAAATCACATTACCCACTGTCAGGCAGGGGGGAGATTTATGACAGAAGAGACCAGAAAAGAGGTCTCTTCTGTTATAAAAACCCTGCCTGTCAGCGTTTTAGGTATAAGGACTTTACTACCACTTTAAGACTGCAATATACATATATGCTGCGGGTGGGCTGTATGACCAGCAGTCAGATTTACAGTACTCAGCATAAATGAGTACACCCCAACAGATCTGTAAGAAAACCTTTGTTTTCCTTTCAGTATCAACATTTTCTATGGGACACTATGCTAACAAATGCGGGCCATTGGTTGCAAACGAGATTTGCTAATTTGCACACACAGAGTATTTTTCCTAACAAATTAATTCAAGATCATGTGTTAAAAATGAATACATCCCATTGAAAGTCTTATGCAGGCCATGCATGGGTCGAATGCTTAACGAATTTTCTTTAGAAAATCAGAAATTTAGTGCGTTTTATAATCCGATGGTGCCACCGTTGATTTTGAAATTCAACCAACCAAGCCTTCAATTGCACATGTTGCTACAGAAAAGAATTTTCGTGGCCAATAATTTTCTTTTCTTTCCAGGTCACAGCTCATGATGATTTCTTTTTCGATTATATTTCTTGCATGATTCTCCCATCATTGATAAATTTGTTCACTTTTCAAAATATTTCCAACATGCCCAAGCACTCAAATTCGATGGTTACTCGAAAATTGGCCATTGCTGTGGCCCACTAATGGTGCAAAATTCAAACAAAAACTCTTAGAAAAGATTTTCAAAAATTCTTTTGGAATTTGACTGGTGTAGGGCCGGCTTTAGGAGCAAAGCTAAATTTTAGACCGCAAAGCCCTAATTAACAAGAATTCAGCTACAGTTGAGTCTCATTATTCCTTAAATGAATTTCCAGCAAACAGTTGATTATAGAAGTGTGTTACTTAAGGAAAACCCCTTACCATTTCATGCTGTCAGCAATGGCACCACACAGGGTGGATTTGATTTAAATCACTAGTGAAAAGGCTCGATTAAAATAATTTTTAAAGAGCAATTGTCATCTCTGTCCCGCAGCGGCGCCTCCTCTGACCCGCTGTTGACTCATCGACAGTCCTATTCACTTTAATGGGACAGCTGGTGATGCGGCAATGACACAACAAGGTGAGGGACGTGGCGGCAGCATGCGAGTGGATGTCCGCTAACAGGCGCTGCCATGATGGATCTAAAATGACAGGTGCTCTTTAAATGTAAGGACTCCGACTCATTTTTGCAGGTAGTTAGAATCTTTAATATTTGCAAACCAAATGAAGGTTTCCTTCTTAGAATAATAAGCTGTCTGGTTACTAAAACGGTGATATCAGAACTGATTTCAGGTTAATCACATATAGTTGAATTAATCAAATTTTTATTTCATGTTATTTCTCATGGTTACTGTGAAATTGTGTGAATGCATTAATGCAGTGCATGATATCTCAGCTTGCAGAGCTTGGATTCATTGAATGAGTTTACCAAAAATGTAAATATTGCAGAATATACAGCCTCATGCTACATAACCAAGCTCCATTTCATGCTGAATAAACTAAATTATTAATGTATATTAAATAGAAAACAATCTTTAGATAGATATTTTCTCCAAAAGCATTTTATTAAAATAAATTTGATTAAAAATCCGATTTTAATTAAAAAAAAAAAAAAAATCAGATTTAAAAAATCGATTTTTATCCACCCTGGCACTATATGGAAGAGACATGTCACAAGGCTTGAGAAAGAGAAAATGTCTTTAATCAAGAATGGTGAAGGCTACAAGAAGATCAGCAAATACTGTAGCAAAGGTAATACAAAAATTTAACATAGATGGAACTGCAACCATCTCACAGAGACATCCAAGCCATCCACAGATGTTAACACCTCGACAGGAGGGTCTTTTGATGAAAAGGGTTGAAGAAAATCCCCATGCAAGTTCACTGCAGTTAGCTAAAGAAGCCAAACTGGGGTGATTGTTTCCCGTGACACAATATGGCATACACTGCAGAGGAATGGCATGCATGGGTGTTGTCCATGAAGGAAGCCTCTCCTAAAGCCCATGCACAAAAAAGCCTGTCTAGAATTTGCAACGGCCCATGCTGAAAAATAAGACTACTGGGACTCTGTACTCTGGAGTGATGAGACCAAGATAAATGTTTTGGAACTGATGGCTTCAAAACTGTATGGCGTTGCAAAGGTGAGGAGTACAAAGAAAAATGCATGGTGCCTACAGTGAAACATGGTGGTGGCAGTGTTCTTCT